AGTCATTTTCAGATGAAGGGAAACTAAGAGGATTTGTCACTAGTAAATCTATCATTAAAAAACGGCTAAAGGAATATCTATAAACAGTAAGGAAATTATTACAGAAGAAGTTTTGCTATTAAAGAAAAAAAAAGAAAGAAAAAAAACCTCTCTGGAATGGGTGAAAGTAAGGCTGAATACACGAAACTGTTTCTCATGAGTCTTACTACATATTTGATGATTAAAAGAAACATTATATCATTGATGTGGTGTTTAATATATGTAAAAAAAATAACTAAGTCAATATATTGTACAAGTAAGGAATGTAAAAGATTCTAAGTGGAAGTAAAATTTCTACACTTTGCTTGCAGTAATAAAGCATCAATACCAGTGGACTCTAAGCCACATAAGGTATTAATACACACTTGAGTGACCAATAAAAAACACCAGGAGTAAAACAAAATAAGGCTTTTTTTTTTTCTTTTTCAAGTGTTAAAATACACGAAAAGAGTGGCATAAAAGGAGAAGTATTTCAGTGTTTCCCTGGCAAACAATGAATACAGAGTCTGAGATGCTCTAACTAGGGAGCTGCCCATGGATTCAGGGTTAGATTTGGGATCCTTAGGGACAAATTAAAAATGAAAGAAATGGGGAGTTCCCACCAGGAATCCCATGGGGTGATATGCAGTCACTGTAAATTCAATCATGAAAACTCTGCAAATAAAAATGGTTACCAAAAAAAGTCAAAGTTCCAAGGTCAGCAGAAGTACAAAGTCAAACCAAATGAGATCACAGTGAGAGGTCTGCAGAAAGTAGAGAAGTTGAAGGAGGGAAAGCTGGTTCATGGCATGCTGCTTTGCCTGACAATTGTGTGATGTGTTATCGTGAAGGCATCTGATTCATTTGAGGTACAGGGAGCAGGAAGTACAATGTAGGGAACACATTCCAGCAATTAATGGGTTTTTATACCTTTTAGGAGATTTTCCTATATTGCCTTCTTAACCTTCTGTGTGACAAGAAATTTTAGCCTCATTTAACAAATGACATACCAAAGACGAAGGAAGTTTAATAACTTGGATAAAATTATTTAGCCATATGAATAAACTAAGATACATGTCAGGTCTAACTTTTATAGGCATTGTTTATGGGCAAAAGATCTGGGATGTTAAGAATGGAATAATCTCTTCACCACATTTCCCCCTCCAGTATCATGCAGCATCCACTTGTTTAGTTGAAGGCTAAGAAATTGTTTTTTATTTTTTTTTACTTTTTATTTTATTTTAATTTTATTTAAGAGAGAGAGAGAGTATAAGTAGACAGAGGAGGAGTGAAGGAGAATCTTAAGCAGGCTCCACACCCAGTACAGACCCAGACATGGAGATCAATCCCACAACCCTGGGATTATGACATAAACTGAAATCAAGAGTCAGACACTCAGCTGACACACCCAGGTGTCCCTAAAACTTTTTAGAAAAAGTTGTTAAAATAAAACTAAGCAGGGTGTCAGGTAACAGAAATCACAAGGTTATAAAATAAAAGCCAAAGGTGAAAAAAAAATGAAAGTTTTACATTAGAATTTTTTTTTTGTTTAAAATATCAGTGTGTGTAGTTTTCCTTTATCACTTTTTAAATAATGAATCTTATAGAAAAGTGATGCAACTCCACTATCCACATTTACTTTTCTATCAGCGTTCCCCCACATTTAAAAATACAGTCTTGGGGTGCCTGGGTAGTTCAGTCAGTTAAGTGACTTCGACTCAGATCATGATCTTGAGGTTTGTGAGTTTTAGCCCCACATTGGGCTCTGGGCTGACACCTCAGAACCCTGGAGCCTGCTTCTGATTCTGTGTCTCCCCCTCTCTCTGTTCCTCCCACACTCATGCTGTCTCTTCCTCTCAATAATAAATGTGAAATTTTTTTAAATAATAAATATTATTTTTTTAATAATAAAAAATAAAATACAGGTTCATAGCCAGCTGACATGGATAAACCCAGAGTCTGCTACTTCCTAACTTGGGGTGATATTAACCTTTTTAAGTGTTAGTATGCTCACTTGTAAATTGGTGATAATCATTGATGTGCTTATAGGTTAAATCAATGATATGTATAAAATCATCCAGTGTCTTCTTGGAAAAGTATTTTTTGAAAAGCTGTCAACTTTTTAATAAATATCTGTAAACAGTGTTTACTTAAAAATATTGATAGAAAATAATTTGACCAGGTCAAATTCTTGACCTCCTTTGGATATTTACCTTCATTCCTGTGTACACTTTAAATCCTCAACAAAAGAACAAGCAAATGACTCATCATCTTTTGGAACTTTGATAACACAGAATAGCAGGATCAAAGAAAATGCAGGCCTGCTCTTGAAAGAGTATCTCTAAGTGTATCCCCACCTAAAGTGAGTCACACCTGCCATTGAACAAAAGATAGGACATAGTTAATGAGCATATTATATGGCCTTTTAAAAAATAAAAAAGACCAATGTATCAAAACATAAAACAGTTTGAAAAAATACAGTAGAGATATAATGCTTTCTCAGTAGGGAGATAAGGAAATAAGGGATTACTTGGAAGGAAAAGATTGCAAAGAAAAACAAGCGGCAGCTTTTCTCGAAGCTGAAGACCATAGAATAAAAGATGAAAGCTAAGCCTCTTAGGTGGAATAGTATGAATTCCAACTGTGTACAGTGGAGGAGTTGACAGAAGACTAATTTCTCAAGAAGAAAATGTTTTAAAAATTAAGCACCTAGTCAATATGTCATTCTGGTTTAAAAGGAAAAAAAGTGGCATCTGGGGAGTGGATTTTTATTTTTTAATCAAATGTAAATATAAAAACAAAGATCCTTGACAACTTTAAGTGATCGATGTTACTGTGAGTGATTGCTGTAATTTTATTTTTGTAAGGCACACATCAGTGAAAGAATTAACTCTCTGTTTCTGGTATTTTTGTCAACAATATTATCTTATTTTTATATAATATCCTAAAATCATAGAAACATTTGCCATTGCAGAAAAATCCTATTCATTTCAAGCAACTTATGAAGTATTAACTCTATAATCAGGGCCAAATATTTTATAACTCATCATATATATATATAAATATGTATTTTTTTTATTTTACCTAACATAAAATGATATCCTACTTGTGAGATGCATCAGAGAGAATTCATAAAATCACTTGGATAAATTTCTCACTATTTTTAATTATTTTCCTACTGAATTTCTTAGATTTACTTCTGTTCCTTTTATTAAATTTTCAAATATAAGTAAATTTTCTATAAGAAACCAAAAATAAAATGACTCAAACTGGGTCCTATATTATTGTAGGAATTAGAATCCTGCCTTCAAAAATTCATGAAAATGAGTTAGCAAGGGGAATGTAAATGATTTCATTCCTAACCCCGCCTACTGCAAACCTCTCTCCCCAACAACTCAGTGACTGTCTCCCACTATGCTATGTTCTATAACTGGAAAGCATGAACAAAAGCATGCCTAGTTTTCCAAGGCAGAGCAATAATAAGGCTAAAGTTAAGTTTGTAAGTTAAGAAAACTTATTTAAGATTTGGGAGATGGGGTAGGAAATTGCCTCAGATTCTGTGTCTCCCTCTCTCTCTGACCCTCCCCTGTTCACGCTGTCTCTCTCTCTTTCAGAAATAAATAAAACGTTAAAAAAAAAAAGTCCTTTTTAACAAGGATTCTGCTGCCAGTACAAATATTTTCCTTCCCTGACCAGCACTTTCCAGGAAAAGCAAAGGATTAAGTGCTAGAAGATTCATCTCCTACTTGAAATTTCCTTACAAACTGTAAGGAATTTTTGATTGCCCAATCTCTTCAGTTACTAGGCATATTAATTGTTCAAAGGCAAAAAGAACATACTGTATTAATTTATCCATTTATTTGCTCACTTTCCTCTGTAGATTACTGTTTAGATTTATTTTATATTTTACAATCACAACTGATTCTATGTTGGAAGAAGAAAAATTAGTGCTAATCCGAAGAGATGAAAAATTTAAAAACTGCTTTGCACAGCTGCCTTTGTAAGTATTATACGGTACTCTTCAGCTTATGGATACAAAGGAGAGCATACTAATATCCTCAGGCCCTCCTGCTCCTAACTCAGGCAGTCTTGATGTATCAAGCCTTTTGAGAGACAAAAGGCCTTAACATCTACAGCTGTTGAGTATCTTTATCAAGGATATTTGTATAGCAAAGGGAATTGGAAGATAAAGATAGTGTCTCCTTCTAGGGCAGTGACAGATTTGTTTCCTGATCAGGATAATCAAAATAATGTCTCCCTTTAGTAAAATGGTTGGACAAGTTAGCTAGAAGCCCCTTTGAAAAGATGAGGGTTGCTAAGCCAGGATTATTCACCTGTGACACAAAGCCACTACTACAGGCACCTCCACACCTGGGCTACCCCACTTCACCCTGTGGGATTTACAGAACAAAGGGAAAAGATGTGACCACAAAGCTCATGATGACTGCTGTGCTAGGAGTAACCAAGCCCTCTGTTTTGGGCCAAGTCCCAGGCCTTCTGCAGCATTCACAAAACTGTGGCCACTTCTTAACTGAGAAGCAGTGTCAACTCTCACAACCTTTAATGGTTATTGATAATACTATACCCAGAAATCAATTCAGTCCACATCTTGTGACTTTCAATAGGCTCACATCATCTGCAAACTACTGGGCCAAAAATAAAAGACACCTGCCTGCTACTGTGCCAGGACCACTGTCACAGCTACTCTCACGCGACTACTCTTTTTGCTATCCTTCCCCGAGGTATTCTCACCTTGACTTATGAAGACTGCTACCCAAACCATTGATGCCATCCCCCACAAGTGCCCAGTTCAGGACTGTCGGAGATGTCCTATTGCACACTGGCAGAGACACAACTTCTCTTTCCCTATATGATCTCTTCTGTACATGTTTCATGATAAGATCAGTTGGCCCTGGAGCTGTTGAAGTTCATTTTGATTTTACAAATACATTGGCTTCTTTCTCCAGGATACATGCTCAGGGCTAGCTGTTAGCTAATCGAGGTGGGTGAGTGAAGCCAACATTGCGTAACCAGGATTCATCCTCTCCAAATCTCCAATCCTGTTGCCGAGTCAAGCCTAATTGGACGCACACACTCTCCCTTGGCATAGATTCTTTACCAGAGCACCTACAGGCATTGCTAAGTCACAGTAATTTGGATGGTATTATGGACTGAATTGTGTTCCCCCAATATTCATATATCGAAGCCCTAACCATTAATTTGACAGTATTTGGAGTGGAGATTACCTAATGAAGTAATTAAGATAAATGAAGTCATGAGAATGGGGCCCTAATCCAATAAGACTAATGTTTTTATAGAAGAGAGACCAAAGAATCTCTCTCCCCTCCCCTCTCTCTCTCAGTCTCTCTCTCTGACTAAATGTATGATTTGTTTTTCCTCAGTGAAGGCAGTCTATAGATACTAGGTAAAATATGGAGGGAACTCCTTATGGCATATATCAAGTGTCAGGGACTCTTTTTTCCACTGTTATTGGTTTTTTTCTATGTAAGACATCAATGTAAAAGGAATAATTCCTAGAAACATTGAAAGGGTTATTTATCAAATGGTTGAGACAGCCCTGGCTTGTTTGCCCTCACATCTATTCCTTGCCCCTCTTGACTTCTGCTCTGTTCATAGGCCAGGCATTGCAGTTCCATTAATGGGAGAGCAGAAGCCAGAGTATATCTCCTCTCTCCTTGCCTTGGTACTCCTCCAAAATCTCCCTCGTGCCCCATGCCTCCAGCTCTCCAGCTCCCACCAGAAAGGCCCAGTGGATTGAAGCCTCAGTTAGACAGTACTAGTCTCTACACTCTAACATTGTCCTCCTCCCTTTGTCTCAACAGCCTACAGGTGATAATGACTTCCTACTATTGCTACTATCTGTTACATCATCATTCTATCCACATCCCCACCACAGCCAATTCCTTCATTCAATCCTCTCTGTTGTAAATTCTTTTTTTATTGAAGTACAGCTGACACACAATGTTACATTCGTTTCAGGCATACAAATAGTGATTCAATAACTCTATACCTTATGCTATGCTCACTTCAAATGTAGCTAGCACTATCACAATACCATTGACTATATTTCTTAGGTTGTACTTTTCATCTCGTGACTTATTTGTTATATGGATGATAGCCTATACTTTTAAAATAGTTTTAAATTTTATTTGCATTCTAACTGGATTATTTATGTTCTTGTTTATTTATTTGTTTAGTTATTCTCTGCCTTATTCTAGACAAGGCTTAAGACAGTTTTGGGGAAACTGTGATATGAGAAGATATCAAAATTGTGAAGTGGATTTTTTTTAATCTTGGAGGGAAGATATTCTAAAACAATTAGATAAAATAATGTCAAAAATAAGCTAAAATAATGTATAAAGTCACCTATACATTGGCAGTAAATGACCCATAAATTTAGTTCTATCATTGTAAAAACAAAACATAGTTAAAAATTCAAAGGTTGAGGTGCACCTGAGTAGCTCAGTCCGTTGAGCAACTGACTTCAGCTCAGGTCGTGATCTTGTGGTTCCTGAGTTTGAGCCCCACATAGGTTTACTGCTGTCTGCACAGAGCCTTCTTCAGATCCTCTGTCCCCTTCTCTCTGCCCCTTCTCTACTTACTTTCTCTCTCTCTCAAAAAAAAAAAAAAAAAAAAAAGAATAAAACATTTTTTAAAAGTTCAAAGGTAGGTGGAGAGGAAAAGGAGTTTATGGCTGATTTAATTACTGGGATCTCTGGGGTGCTGGGGTGGCTCAGTCGGTTAATTGTCTGACTTTGGCTCAGGTTGTGATCTCGTGGTTTGAGGGTTTGAGCCCCGCATCGGGCTCTGTACAGACAGCCAGCTCAGAGACTGGAACCTGTTTCAGGTTCTGTGTCTCCCTCTCTCTCTGACCCTCCCCTGCTCACACTGTCTCTCTCTCTCTCAGAAATAAATAAAACATTAAAAATTTTTAATAAAATAAAAAAATAATTACTAGGATCTCCTGTTATTTGCAACATCTGCTTAAGGTATATAAAAGAGATCTTTTTTTTAAATTTTCATTTCAAAAAATGAAAAAACTCAAGCATTAGTGTGTCTTCTCATATTGTTTGATGCACTCAAACCCAACCATTCTCCAATATTCCTGGAGTTGATTCAGCCCAAAGATCCTCCAGGATGCATCATGGCCACTGCAGAAATTACAACCTTGTTAGTCAAAGTGGGTTTTGATTCGTTCACTGTAAAAATTCTGCCAAGGTTGCTTCATGTTTGTATTCTCAGTGGAGCTTCAGATTTTAATTGCACAGATATGTTTACCCATTTTTTTCAAAGGAAAGAAAGGATTCAATCAAAGTTATCCCTTATCCAGTGGTGAAAATATCCAGTGATGAAAAATAGCCCCATATCCAGTGAGTCTATCAAATTTAGGCACAATTTTACCAGACTACTGGATCATCCTCATCTCCTTTACTCGTGAAGAGACTTCCTCTCTGGGAGTTCATAAGACTTTCCCCAACAGGGTCCTCATTCAAGGCAACTCTGGCTATCAAAAGATTGTAAGAGCATTGAATGCTATACACAACCTTTGCTGTTTTTCAAACTAATACATAATATTTCATAGTGCCCATAATAACATCTCATTTATTCATTTCCCCTACATTGTTTTTAACAAGGGCACTTACATGTACTGTACAATAATTTATTTGGAATATGTACTTAGAGCTTTTCAGGGGCATGAGAAAACACATATCTAGGCTCATTAAGTACATACAGACAGATTACTTTCCAAAATAGTTGCACCACCTTATGTTCCCAACATAATAATTTAAAATATTTATAAAACCCATTTACTCATACCCTTGTCAATGTTGTTTTTATATCATTTATAGTCTTTACCTATTAAGAATGTAAAGAGTTATTTCACTAATATTTGGTTTTCTCTGGCTAACTGTGAGCTTGAGGGCATTATCATATTCTTTTAAGTCAATGGCAATTCTTTGTGAATCATCTGTCCATTCTCTTTACCAGATCTTCAATCAGGTTTACCTTTTTCCCTTGTCTAGAGAATACATATTTTCATTGCGTTATATGCTAAGTATAAGATACTTTAAATTCCAATTTCTTCTTTGGCCCAAGGGTATTTAGTATTTTTTTTTTCAATTCAGGTGAATGGATTTATAAACCTTTTTTAAATTAATTATAAGCATACACACACAGATACCAATACACACAAATTAATTTAGTGTGTGTGTATGTGTGTCTGCATGCATTTAAAATGGACTTATTTGACCTCAGACTATCCTACAAGATAAGTACATTGAATATTCCTGTTTTAAAGATGAGGAAACTGAGGCATAGAGAAGTTAAATAACTTGCCCAAGGCATAAAGCTATGAGGTGACAAAGTCAAGATTGGAGCCCAGTGTTTGAATCTAGAGCTCAAGCTTCTCACTATGATATCTTAAAACAAAGTCAATATTGAACAAAAATGCATAGAGTTTCACAAAATGAAACTATGATAAAATAATAAATAGGTTAAAAATAGAGATGAAATGTGATTTCTGAGGGAAATAAAAATATCTTAGATACTGCAAATATAAAACATATAAGCATCCATTTCCAGATACTTTTTGCACATACAAAATTAGAATCTGTGTGAATTATTTAATGAAAATAAGCATCCAGGTGTAATAGACACATTTAGTAACCTATAATCAAAAGTCATGTTGACTATTTTTGTGAAGATAAATTTCCAGTAAAATACCCAACAAAGTTGCCATCTAAATGGTAATGCTAATAATTACATTCTGGGTTCACACTTCACTGAATGGCATAATTTATTTATTGCACATTTCCCCTGTGGTTAAAAGAAAATGCTTTTGTTCCTGTGAGGGCTCTTGATTATCACTCTCAAAATCTTGTTTAATAACCAGTGTGAATGGAACAACTAACATCATTTTTAATAGGGGATTTCTGAAGTAAAATATATTTTTTCTATTATGCAGATATCCATCCCGGGAAACAATGCATCTTCTAAGTCATACTGTCAGTTGAAAGCATCCATTTCCCAGGGAAGAAAAAATAGAGTAGCATGAGTAACTGTGAAGTATTTTTTCATTGGTGGCGGGACTTCAATACATGTGATCTTTACCTAATCTGCCATCTTTGAGGTAAGTATATAAATTTAATGTAAAATTTTATTTGTTGTAGTTTAAAATCCTAAGTATAAAGACCAGAATGCACTTGTCTATGGCAAATGTCAAGAGATTACAATTTATTTAAGTTTATCACTATGCAAATAAATGAACAAAAAACTAATATGTAATGGATACAGATTTTATGATAAGAAGTTTAAATTTTTTTTGGTTTGAATCCAAACTAGAAACATATGAAAAATTGAAAATCAGAAGGTCATAAGTTGCAAGCATTAAATACAATCAAGAGTTGTCAACACCCAATTGGAAAGACAGCCTTGGAAAGATACCCAATCTCCTAAGCAAACAAAAAGTATTTACTAATATCTCTAAAAAATGTTGAGCAGGACTGCTCTTTAGCACTCATAATTGTATGCTAATTGAGGGAAAAAACATTGGGTAGTTCTTTTTTACCATTCTTAAAGGCCTTTCACTAAGCCAGCACTCAATAAATAAGCCAGACTGAAAGAAAATATTCATAATAAATATATCTGACCAATAGTTTTTACACAGAATATGTGAAGAACTTTAACAAATCTATACCAATAAGAAAACAACCCAATAAGAATGGCAAAAGTCATAAAGATATACTGTATAAAAGATTTACAAATGCCAGTAGGCTCCACAGACATCTGGAAAATGCACATTAAGCCACAAAGATATGACATTTGTTACACATATACATATATATATATATGGGTATATGTATAAATATATATATATGTTTACCAAAAAATGTACAAGAATGTTACAGAGGCCTTCTGCATTACAGTAAAAAAACTTAAACAGCTCAAGTGTCCATCAGCAAGAATGGATATTTGTACTGAAGTATATTTACACAATGCAGGGTCAGGAATAGAGTGAGGCAAAGCAGGTATATAGACACACACACACAGACACACACATATATATATACACACACACACTGAGGTATATGTATATACACACACACACACACACACAAACACACACACACTATGTACTATATAGTAATATATATTAAATTAATATATTGAATTTTATTTATTATAATTTTAAGTAAGTACATTATTTATATATTATAACATATATAAAAACACACACTTGACATACATTTAACATTTCCAGCTACATAATTTGTAAGATGTAGTGCAAAATTAAAATGTGGGGATTCATTCAAAAAGCAAGGAAAACAGCACCATTACTGTTCATCTTTGTGTTGCACAAAGCAAGTTTTAAATTCAAAAACAGCATTTAATAAATTTGTGGAATCACTGAAATTACATAGTTCATATTTCATGCATGTGTACTTTGTTCTTACCAGAACGGTGGAAAGGTCACACACTAACTCAACTGGCTTTATTTTACTTCTTGATATAGGTATATTCAACCAATGCTCTCTAAATTCAATTATTGATTAATAAGGCACTGTTAAATGGAAAAATAATTATGCACTGCCCAATCTTTTCAGTTCTTTCCCATTCAATGTCATCATTTTCATAAGTGGTTGGCCAATAGAGGGAAGTAACAAGACAAAAGATATGTTAGGATTCTTTAGTTGTCTGTATTTCTTAGAACACTATTGCCTTCTTTCTGTAGTAAAAACAAATTCTAGTTTAAATGAATGCATGGCCTCTCAAGGCTATATGAACACCCACTTACTCAGTCATAGACATAACATGCTTCCCTTATACTTATAGTCTTCTCTTGTACATTGTCTTAACTGAAGTTCCATGCATTGTGATTGCACCAGAATTCTATGCCAATGGGACATCAAAAAAGCTGTATGTGAATGGGGTGATAAGGAATAGCAGCAAATATACATCTAGTGCTCATCTCCTCTGCTGATACGTATGTATCATTTTCCCACTGGACTTCACTTACAAAACACAGTCAAAGATAAAATTTTGAAGAATTTCAAGATGGTGGCAGCAGACCATTAAACCAAAAATAGGACCATTTGAAACTGTACAGGTCACATATGCAAGAAGCTAGCCCTGATTACATAGTTGGATGATAGATGATAGTTGATAGGTAGATAGATATATGATAGGTAGGTAGGTAGATAGATCCTAAAGCCCTCTTTAAAAAGGTAAAAAAAAAAAAAAAAAAAACCTCAGGGGAAAAAAGTGATGTAGAAGTGTTCAAAATATGGATGCATGTTGAGACAAAGCAGTGTAGATATGGGCTTCATGAGAAAAAAGAAATCAAAAGCTACTCAAAGTTTCTGGCCTGAAAAAAGAGAAAGATGGAGTTACTATTTAATCAAATAGGGACAGATGGAGGTGGTTTGAGAAATGAAAGATATCAGAAGTTCAATTTTGAATATATTAAGTTTAAGTGCCTGTTATACACCCAAGTGTAAATGTCATTTAGGCAGTTGGATACGTGAGTATGGATAGCAGAGAAGACAGTAGTTAGCACAGTGGTGGCATGATATTTAAAGCCATGAGAAGTGAGAAAGGCTGACGTAAGGAGTAAGTATAAATGGAGAAGAGAGAGGTGGAGAACTTAGCTTTGAAACATTCCAGTATGTAGAAATCAAAGAAATGGCATGGGACTTACACTGGGAGCTTGAAATTAACTTTGGCAAATGACTTAATCTCTCCTAACATGTTCACTCATCTGTAAAGTAAGGGTGTTGTTACCTACTTCTTGAGATGGCTGGGGAATGAAAGATGAAAATAGTACTACCTAAGCTGTCTGGAGTACCCAACAAAACTGCCTCCTTTTTCCAACTGGTAGGTCTTCTTCCTCTGACCTCCTTCTCTTCTCCATTCTCCATAGAACTAAAAAGAATCAAAAGAAACGAAAACAAAAACCTTAATCCTTTCATTTATTCATTTGTATTACCACTGTTGGCTTTCTTAATACTTTCAGCTACTGGTCAATTGCTCAGGAGAGGAAACATGTCTTATTCATTTTTGTGACTTTACCACTGAACACACTGTAGAAATAAAAGACAAAAAATAATTTATTTTTCAAAGAATGAATATACTCTTAGCAAATGAGGCCATTCGATTACCCTAAAGTCTTCACTATTGTTCCTACTCCATCTCAGGACAATCAGGAATCTAATGTGTAAAAAATAATGTTGTACATTTCTCACAGTATGTTCGCTTTAACTTGATGAACTAAAGATCTGAGAATAATTTTTTAATATTTTTCCTCCCTGAATTAAAGGAAATAACAGTAAAACCTTTAAACATGATAACACTTATGGGAAATAAGTAACTCTCCCAACCTACTCTGAGATCTAACTTGAAAACGAAATGTTATTTGACGTTCTGTAGGATTTATGAAATGTCAAGATAGCCTCCACTTTGATCACTTATTCATAACTTTGAAATGTTTCCATTTATCATTCTTGTTCATGAAGTACCTCTCTCTGTTTTCAATGGAAAACAGAGCCTTCTACATCAGCAGTAACTTATATAATTATGTTAAAGAGCTAGACGCTGAACCTGGAGGAAAAATGTTACATCTATCCCTGTTGAAAGCTGCAAATCTCTGATCTGGGCTGTATACCACCAAGTCAAAAAGCCACATGAATTTTGGCTTTATCATTTTTCTTTCTTGCATAGCTTTGTTCAGTGGCTAACCATCAAAAGTATACAGAACCTTCTAGAAACCTAAAGTTAAAAATTGACCCTAATGTTTCTTTTACTCAAGCAGATATCTTTTTGATTAAAAAGAGGTCAGATGCCTGTGACCTCTGGGAACACTGGCCATCCTCCAGATAGTGTGAAGATACAAACAGGAAAACATAAAATCACTCTGAATATATAAAGCAGAAGGACTGAAATGCAAGGAATTGGCTAGACAAATGACGAAATACTCCCAAACAACAACAACAACAACCAGGAAATAGGAGACAGGGAATCCAGATATTCACAGTAGGAAACCACCACATTCCGCACTACCAGACATAAGGGACAAAGTGAAGTGGTGGTTTTACTAGGGTTCAAGGACCAACATTATTTGATAGGAGATAGGGCATATTCATGATGACTAGTCAGCACATTTCTCTATGTAAGGCAGTATTTCTCAAATTTCAGGTGCATAAAAGTTATATTGCTTAAGTGCAGACTCCCGGGACTCATCTCCAGAGATTATGACTCAGTATAATTTAATTCAGTGGCATTAGGCATAGGAATATATATTTTTATTAAATAATCTTGGTGACTCTAATATAAGTAGTCCATGGGTCACGTTTGTAAATACATTGTTAAGAAGAAATTTTCACAGAAGCTCCAACAGCTACTATCGAAAATTCAAATTGGAAATCATTTTTTAGGATGTAATGTCTAACATCAATGTGGCGATCTAATAAAAGATCTGGTGACCTACGTTTTTAATTGTCTCATATATAGGGATCTGTCCCTCATTTCCTTTACCATTAATAAGATTCAGCTTTTCTTATTACCTCCTTTCCATGGGTGTCCGTCTTTTTCTTCCCATGTCTGCATCTTCTTAAATAAATAAATAAAGAATAAATCTTAAATGATTTATTCACTGCTAACTCATAAAGTTATTTATCTTTTTATTCAAAGCCCCTCAAAATGCTGTTATCAGGTAATTAGGTAGCATGTTATATGGAAGCTGTATTGAGAATAACATTGTAAGAATCACATTACAATCCTGCTTTGATGGAGACTGCGTGTCCCCATATGTCTTCATATAATATTAAAGGACAATTGTTCATGCAATTTTAACGAATGTCTACGTTATCATTTTTATTTTCCTTTTTTTCTAAATTTCTTTTCAAAATTACAGATACTGTCAAACCCATGTAGTAACCAAACATTCAATACAGACAGTAAATTAGCTGCTACTCAGAGCCTACAAATAAAGGTGATCTCACTGTGCAATCTATCTGCCTAGTCTATCATTGCAGATCATTCATTGTTCCAAGGATCTTCCTTTATAAGAAGTTGCAAATGCTTCCCTAAAACTTTAAAAATGCATATCAATGATGTCTGAAGGATATATAAAATACTCATAAGTTTTTCTTTCTCCAATAGAATAGCTACTCAAATATTGAAAAGCATTGGTTCTCTGTTATAATTATCTATCTATATCTATATTTATATCTATATCTATATATATATCATATTTTTGAAAATAAAAGACTCCATGAAAAAAGAAAATAATTTTTATACATGAAGTATAAAAGATGGAAGTCTTACTTTTATTGATGTGCCATTTCTGTTTTGAGGATTTCTTCAAGCTTGCAATTTCTTACCAGTGACAAATGCATGAAAAAGTATACATTTTAAAGTATGTAAATCACAATATATTATTAAAAATACATAATAGCATTTACTATTCCGTACAGCATTTGATAGGGTAAAAACATGACAAACAATAACTTGTAAAATTAGAGTTTGTTTCACATAATGTGAAATTTTAGGAGGCAGCTTAGAGCTGAGAAGCTTAATATGCCAGGATTGATATGGATTCTCTCTTCCTCACACTTCCTTTGCTTTGTAGCATTCATCTTCATGCTAGTGAATTCAGCATAGGCATAGCTTTCTTATTCATAGGTAGTGGATAGGAAATTTAGTTTTTAGTTTCCCAACATTTACAATAAATGAAGACAAGTCAAAAGTGGATTAAGTAGGTCTCTTAACTGAGAACAGTTGTAAGTAGGCTATTGCAATTAATCCAACCCATATTTACATGTTTTCATATAAATGTTTGAGATTAAATTTAAATGAATTTACCAGTATTCTACATTACACTTTATACTCAAGTTGCTTTTGTACTTTAACAGTGAATAATATCAATTGTGAAAAATACACCCATTTTGTCAACAAATAAGTCAATAGAACATTGTGAATTCAAAAACTATTTTTTATAAGACTCTCATACATAGTTTGTTGAAATGGATACTAGCTTTGTTTTGTTAAGCCTAATAATTCAAAGTAGATTTTAGTTTACTTGAGTTATTTATTGTCATTTCAACAAATTTATGGCAATTATAAAATATCTTAGATTTAAACACATTAAATATTTTTTAAAACATCATAGATTTTTGCTAACCAATTGTTATCTTATGAGTAATAATACATAGATAATTTCTTTCGCTGTAATCATCAATGTCCATAACAATATGACCGTTTTTCAAATAGTTCCAGATGAGAGTAAGCAATACATATATTGTGATAAGAAGTTAGGTTATGATAGAATTTCAAGCCACTAGGAATGGAGTAGATCTCTAAATTTCTGAAAGAGTTGTCAGTAGATCAGAGAGCTTTATAAGTGGGTGTGTCTTTTGGATTGACATCAAGCATTTTGATAACAATTTACAATATATATAATTTGTCTTGCATGTGCTTGTGAAAGTGATTTTTGATCACTGTCATATTTGTTAAAACTAATACACTCTGTATATAACAGTTATAGGAGACAACCAGTTTTGAAATATGACATAACCTTACAAACCATCAACAGTGTCATATTCTTTATTTAGTCAGTTTTTCTTCCTCTCTAATATTTGCTTGTTTTTATCACCCATTAATTTAATCCTTATTTTAGTAGAAATCATTATGAAAATATCATAATTACTTTCCCTTCTTTAATTTTAGGGGAAAACGAAACATTTCAAATAGTTCAGTTTTTCCAGTAATAATTTCTCAAAAATATATTACATTCACACAATTTCCCTTCTTTCTTTTTTCCTTTTTTCTTCTATGCTACATTTTAAAACTGTTTATCTTCTTTTAGTATATATTAATTTGTAAATTATTTATCCTGTTTCTAAGCATTTGTATTCTGAGATGGAAAAAGAAACATAAAGTTGTAGTTTTGTGTACATGTCAAGTGGTGGCATTGGTGGAGGTCATGGAATTAAAGGAGATGGTGCAGAGAAGTGGAAAATACATGGGCTTATTGAGACAATATTATAACAGATAAGTAACATCGAGGGATATAAGGCTAATGGATTGACTAGTAGATAATTTTTTCAGCTTCATTAAATTGTAACTGATAAATAAAATTGTGAAATATTTAAAGTATATATCATGGTGATTTGACATACACACACATTATGAAAGCATTCCTCATATTTAGTTAATTAACATATCTATCACCTCACATATTTTTTTTTATTGGGAACATTTAAGCTCTACTTTCTACCAGGGTTTCAGCGGTGCAATACATAAATGGAAAGAGAAAGAAGTAACTACTGCTGTTTCTAACAGCAGGAATGGAACTTGAGGCAGTTACGCGAAGTGAAATAAATCAGACAAAGACAAATATTTCATGGTATCACTTTTACATGGAAACCAAACCAAAACAAAAACAAAACACCCAAACTCATGATTGTAATTTTGAGGGGGGGGTCATGGTCATCCCAAATATATCACCGAATTCCTATAAACTACCATTTACGCGAAAGGTAAACTTGTGAGACTGATGACTCCACCACTACCTCACCCTCAAGGTCAGCGTCAGGAGAACTTGTTTCTAGAGAGACTGCTTTTAACGTGGATGTTTGTTTCTTTTTGGCCTCTTCCCAAGAAGATGTTGGTAAGCTATTGAATTGGATATGCTCCTCTCTGATAGGCAAGCAAGGCCTATTTTCCTTAGGATCTTCTGAGTAACTGTGGTGTGTTTTCATACCAGCGTGCAGCCACAGGGTCTTTCTTTACTGGTTCGGATTTAGTTTTTATTGTCTGTTTTTACTTCAGCGTTCACTTTTACCCGTTAATTATTGCTGAGCGTGCCTTAGCAGTGGCGCTCCATCCGTACCTGCGAAAATAAAACACCTTTGTGCCACGGTAGGCGCATGCGCATGCCTTACATTTGCTGTGTGCTAGGAACGACGCCTCCGCTGGGAGTGTGAGGCTCTTGGTGCCCCTTAAAGTCTCTAGCGTCTGCAGGGCCAGCAAACTGCAGAGCTCTGCTCTTCAACTTTAAGTGCCCTAGGTTGTATTATGACTATTTTCCCTTAAACGATATTGACCATGTGATTCCATCAAGTTTATACTTTGCTTTTTGTTTTTTGCTGTATGATGCAGCAAACAAATTGTGAAGTGCTTTGTTTTTGTTTTCTTGGTGTAAAACTTTACTGCAGTGCTGGTGCAGCTAAAAAACTGGAAGGTTTACCATATAACTTATGGTGAAGTTTGCCTGGTTTCTTCCAGGCAGTGTTTGGAGATTTCATGATGCAGTTGTTGACACACTTATACGTCTATCATGTAAAAACACGAACTGGAACAAAAATTGGATTTGTTTCATAAGTGTAATCCTGTAATCTATGATAAAGTTGAAATTAAATATAAATATTGTTCTAACAATTACAGAGAAACAAAAATAAATAATATCTAATTATGTTTAATACTTCTTCAGGGAATCAACACATTGCACTTCACAAATATGTAAGTTCTTTACTAATTGTCATAGAAAACATATTTCTAAATAGTTCCCAATAAATATAACGTGTCCAATTTATGTGACCTCTCTTGCATGACTTCTCAAATACAAGGCATTAAAATGCTAATTATAAAACAATACATATTTTTTCAAAGCTTTCTCAAAGTTACAACAAATCACAGCATATTTTTTCTTCAAGCTGTGCAATTTGAATGTGCTTGTTAATCTTTGAAAAATAACAGTAAGAAGAGGAAAATGCTCTTTTTAGTCATCTATTTTGCTGAATAAATGAAAATTGATTGCATCGAATGGAGACTGGTTTCAAACTTATACACTGCGGAAGATATTAGCAAAAGAGGTCAGAAGAGCAATTAATAGAAATATTTTAAGAAAACAAATACATTTAAATGTCTTTAACATATTATTATTAACTGTAATCTTGTCATTATTACCATTATTTTTCTTTGTCTTTTTAACAACTTTACTGAGATAACTCATATACCAAGAATTTGACATACTAAAAGTGTATAACAAAGTAGCTTTTAGTATATTCAAAGTTCTATGACCTATAATACAATCTAATTAAAAAAATTTTTTTTTACCCAAAAATAAAATCAGTACCCACTGGTAGTAACTCCCTATTCAACAGCTCTCTCCTTGGGCTCCACCCCACGCATAGTAACATAATCCTACCTTCTCTTCTATGGACTTGTTCTATTCCGGAGTTTTCAAATCTATAGAATCATATAATTTTATTGTTTGTGACCATATAAACAAAAGCTAATGTTTTTAAGGTTTAACCATACTGTAGCATGTGCTAATCCTTCATTTTTTGAGTAGATGAATAATATTCCTTTATATGAATATACCATGTTTTTTATCTTTTTAATTTATTTCTTTAAAGTTTATTTGAGAGAGAGAGAGAGAGATACAGAGAGGGACAGAGAGAGAAGTAGCGCATGAAAGTGAAGGAGGGGTAGAGAAAGAAAGGGAGAGACAGAATCTGAAACAGGCTCCATGATGTCAACGCAAAGCCCAGCTTGGGGCTCCATCCTATGAACTGTGAGATCATGACCTGAGCCAAGATTAAGTAGGACACTTAAGCAACTGAGCCCCCTACCCCCACGGGGCTCAGTTTGTTTTAAATCATCTTCATCAGTCGATAAGCATTCAGGTTGCTTCTACTTTTTGTTATCATGAATAGTTTAGACATGGACACTTGTGTACAGATTCTTGTTTGAACACCAGTTTTTTAAATTTTTTTTTAAATTCTCTTGGAAATATACCTAGGAGTGGATTGGTGAGTCATATACTAACTTTATGCTTTACATTTCAGCAAATTCCTAAATTGTTTTCCAAACAGGCTGTAACATTTTAAAATACAGTCAGCATGCATGAGGATTCCTATTTCTCCATATTGCTTATCTGTCTTATTTTAGCCATGCTAGTGTGAATTGGTAGCTCATTGTGATTTTGATCTTATTCCCCTAGAACTCATGATGTTAGATATCTTTCACTTATTTGCCATTTGTGCATATTCTTTGGAGAAATATCTATTCAAATAATTTGTTTATTTTTAAAATTGAGACCTAGCACAATATTGAAATAGTACCTGCTCAATAAATATACATAGAATAAATGATAATGACTTTCCCTTTTATGATTATTTTTTGCTACTTAATGGATATTAAATTACAAGTGTTTAATAACACTTTTAACAACGTGTTATTAAAAGTTCCATTAAATGTTAAAATAAATATTATGGAATGATAGGATGATTATACATTTTGAAGATCATATAGTGTATAAAAACAAATGAATAAATAACGCTTGATAACATCCCAAATATGATGAGAAACATAGACCCTCAAAATCCTAAAAAAACACAAGCAGAAAAAAAATCACATCTAGGCATATCATAATCAAAGTACTGACCAACTATAAAGGTGAAGCCTTAAGTCAGCAATGATTACTAATCTAAATAAAAGTAAGATGGGGGAAAAAAACATTTGGGCAAATAGAAAACATAATAAGTTTGTACATTTAAACCTGAATTTATCAGAATTGTATTGCATGTAAAAGGTCCAAATACTCCAATGAAAAATTGAGTAGCAACCTGAATGAAAACACACACACACACAAAACTAACTCTGTGTTGCTTACAAGAGATAAATTAAAGACACAGGAAAATTGAATATAAAAAGATATAAACATATATAAAAACATTAGCCAAAAGTTGGGGCACCTGGGTGGCTCAGTCAGTTGGACGTCCAACTTCAGCTCAGGTCCTGATCTCGAAGTCTGTGAGCTTGAGCCCCGCTTTGGGCTCTGTGCTGACAACTCGGAGCTAAAGCCTGCCTCAGATTCTGTGTCTCCCTCTCTCTGCCCCTTCCCCATTCATGTGCCCCCTCTCTCTCTGAAAAGAGCAAAGAGTAAAAAAATGTTAAAAAAATCATTAGCCCAAAGTAAACCAATAGTTATATTACTATTATACAAAGTAGATTTTAAGTCATCATCCACATAAATATTAAAGATCAAATCAACTTTATTCAATGATTAATGAATTGATCAGCATCCTATCCAGCAAACAGAAAGCCCAGTTGAGCTGGAGGGAAGAAAAAGTTTTGAAAGCCAGGGAGGGAATGGAAAGAAGGAACTTATTAGCAAATAATGCACTGTTTTAGGCAAGGTTGCCCTCTTAAAAGGAAGGGAAAGGCTCTATCACTAGATTACCTTCTAGTGTGAACCAAGAAACTCCAGACTGGTTAAAGGTCATATTCCTAGAGGTGTTAAAACTTCAGTGAGGTTAGGTATTAAGTCTTGGTTTGCTGCTATGGGGCCTTTACATCAGTGATTACGTCTGGGATTTTCTTTTAACAATCATTAGGAAAATAAGTGCATGCCATAATGAAAACAAATCACAAGAAGATATAATAGTTCTAGATTATTTGTATGTAATCAGAGGCACAAAAATCTCCAAGTATATAGAATATTTTAAAACCATGTATAATAGCCAGATCTAATGTGTATATGCATATACACATTATATATATATATATATATATATATATATCCCCAAAATATCCTTAGAGTTTACTGCATTCCCAAATTCCCATAGTTTTTTTTTTTTTAGTATAAACAAGTTGATTTGAAAATTCATATAGAATTAGGAAGGGCCATAAATAGGCAAAAAAATCTGAAAAATAAAGAAAAATGTTGGACTTACATTATCACAAATCAAAAATATTATAAAGTTATAATAACTAAGAGATTACAATAGGACTGATAAATAGACCAGAGGAATAGACCAGGGTCAAGAAAAACACCCACACATATATAGCTACAGAACTATGACCACAATCCAATTAGGAGAGGCGCACTGTCCAAAATATAGTGCCGAGTTGACTGAATCTCCATATATGAAAAATCCCTTCAAGATGTATTATAAATTTTCTACTGATTTTTAAAAAATAAATAAACTGTGTTATTCATTAGAATAACCACTAGCCAAATATGGTTATTTAAATTTTAATTAAAAATTTATTTATAATTAGTAATAGCTACATTTAAGAGCTCAATATTCACATTTCGTTAGGAACTATTATATTAGCACAGACTTAGAACATTCCTATTTTCATGAAAACCTCTGTTGGTTAGCTTGGTTCTAAAAGATAACCAGGGAGAATATCCTCATAACTTGGGATAATAGAGTTCTCGAGTGCAAATGAAAAATGTTAACTATAAAGGCAATTACAATAATACCTTGAAAAGTGTTAACTTTTTTTAATGTTTATTTATTTTTGAGAGACAGAGTGCGAGTGGGGGAGGGGCAGAAAGAGAGGGAGACATAGAATCCGAAGCAGGTTCCAGGCTCTGAGCTATCAGCACATAGCCCAATGTGGGGCTCGAACCCAAAAGCTGTGAGATCATGACCTGAGTCGAAGTCAGAGGCTCAACTGACTGAGCCACCCAGGCACCCCTTGAAAAGTGTTAAAATTAAGAACTTCTGGGGGCGCCTGGGTGGCTTAGTCGGTTAAGCGTCCGACTTTCACTTAGGTCATGATCTCGCGGTTTGTGGGTTCGCGCCCCGCGTCGGGCTCTGTGCTGACTGCCAGCTCAGAGCCTGGAGCCTGTTTCAGTCTGTGACTCCCTCTCTCTCTGACCCTCCCCTGCTCACGCTGTCTGTCTCTCTCTGTCCTAGAAATAAATAAAACATTAAAAAAAAAAATTTAAAATTAAGAACTTCTGTTGATCAAAAGATGCCCTT